ATATATACATATATTTACATATATATACATATATTTACATATATATACATATATTTACATATATATACATATATTTACATATATATACATATATTTACATATATATACATATATTTACATATATATACATATATTTACATATATATACATATATTTACATATATATACATATATTTACATATATATACATATATTTACATATATATACATATATTTACATATATATACATATATTTACATATATATACATATATTTACATATATATACATATATTTACATATATATACATATATTTACATATATATACATATATTTACATATATATACATATATTTACATATATATACATATATTTACATATATATACATATATTTACATATATATACATATATTTACATATATATACATATATTTACATATATATACATATATTTACATATATATACATATATTTACATATATATACATATATTTACATATATATACATATATTTACATATATATACATATATTTACATATATATACATATATTTACATATATATACATATATTTACATATATATACATATATTACGGAATAATCATGTTCCATGTTTTCCCCAGCACTCTGGAGAGCCTACCAATTTTCAGATTAAGTTATTTTGAAAGGTGAACTGACAAGTTAATACATGTCCAGATGCATAGGCCTCATTGGCTTGCATACCCAAGAAGTGATACTAAAGCTGGGCAGACTACTGGCTAAACAACTGGTTTGCAAGTGAAACTGTTATGCCAGTAGTTTGCCTCTGACGTTGCTTCTTGGGCATGTCCACTGATCGAGCCCAAATGTCTGGACATGCTTTTTTAAGCCTGGGTTCCACTATCCAGACTCGACCATGATTCCTGAGCCACCTCCAGCTACCTAGCCTACTGTTTTGCTTGCACGGCAATTACACTTCCTTAGGCTTAGCACCTCTGGACTGGATTCAAAATGTTTTCATGGAGTTCTAACTATTCAGTGATATTTAAAAAGAGTAAGATGATCAGACACTATAGATCATCTCTGCCTTTGAAAGAATTAGCAGGATATAGGTAGAGAATGCTCCAGGTCATCCTCAGATGATTTAGTTGCCTAGGCTTGGCAGAGATGACTGTAATGTGTTAACTTTGAAATTTGGTAATAGTGTGAGTCAGACAAATTTTAGAGTCGGCTTCTTAAGGACAATCCTTAAATTTTACAAAGAAAATGAAGGCTGCCCCAGGTCCCACAATAAGATAAGACTATCATACATACAAACATATTTCTTTTATCCTGGGGTATTGTGAAAAGGCATAGCTTATATTTTCAGTTGTTTATTTTTCTACTCTGAAGTACTCTGAAAAAAGCAAAATATTACATTTTCTCTTGTTATATGTGACCATCTTATATGAAAGTAGAATATGTTTACTTTCCTTTCAGTGATATTCAAGTATATAACTATTATTTTCATTGTCTTATTTAGGTGGAGGGGAACTTACTTGATATGGGAAATGTCTTAAGTGGCTGGGATAAAAAGAATTTTGACTTGGAGCCACAAACAACAGTGAAGACAGGTGCATCAGGACTAAAGACAGAAAGAGACCAGCCCAGCGAGAGCATTGGCCAAACTCCACAGCACAATGGTATGGCATCTAAATAATAGTTCAAGAACAGAACTTGTTTTACAGAGAGGAATATAAGTCAACAGTGTGTGACGTGATTTATTTTCAGTTTATATTGTGATCTCTATGCAGAGCTGATTCAGTTATTTGGCATGGTCAGTAAAGTAATTGATTCATAGTACCATGAAATATTTCCTTTAACTTGTTATGTGGCTAATTTCATATTAAAGAAAAAAGCTTTGTTAGGTTGGTATAAAAGTAAGGAAAATAAAACCAGTGTATGTCATTGTTTCCATTTTTGTTCGAGATTTTGTTATTCATTTTGTTTTATGATCATGAAAAATTTCAGGCAGCACTGTGAAGGATGAAGCAACAGTCAGCATTACACCCCCTGCCTCCGAAGCTGGCAACGATGAGGACTTGTTGGTTCCTGGTTTCGAAACAGGCAAACACTTGCAAAAATTAGCAGAGTCTTCTAAAGCTCGAATGCCAGAAAAGAAAAGACGCCACAGGCATTCGGAAGGCCCCCAATCACCAAAGAATGTTAAACGACCGCGCAGAAGTCTCATTGAAGATTACCTTACAGTCGTAGACAAGGAGCAGAACCAGGAACTAAACGGCAAGGAACAGTCTCAGGAGGAGGAGGAGGAGGAGGAAGAAGAGGAAGCAGAGTATGAAGTTGAGACCATTGTGAGCTTTAAGAAGAGTGAGGTAAGTCTTTCTAAAGAGGATTTTTGTAAAGGGGTAGTGGAGGGAGGGCTGTGGAGTAGGTGCTCCAATTTCTTGATTTCTTGTGTATTTGACTCCGACTCTGATCCCTAGGTATAATAAAAAAAAAAAGAAAAAAAGAAAAGAAAAGGATTTCAAAACTACAAAGCTACCTTTTAATCCATGACCTTAAAAGTTTTTTTTAATGTATTACTTCATCAGAACTAAAATAGGTTTCATATATTCATGAGCATTTGTACCAGTAATAGATATACTCAAATTATTAGAACAAGAATTTGTATTGTATAATTGCAGTACTAAATGCAAAAGCGGTAGGATTTTGACATTTGGAAAACTTTACATGGTTATTTCCAACACAGGGTCAGTACTTTTACAATGTATTATGGCGAGGCTATGGTCCGGAAGACAACACCTGGGAACCTTCAGAGAACTTGACCAGCTGTGCGGAACTTCTTGTTGATTTTTACAAGGCAAGATTTCTGCATAGAGATAAGCTGACATCAGAAGAAGAGTAAGTAATGATTTTAAGATATATTCTTTATGAATGATGTAATGAGTTTGAGGCTCTATATTTTAGTTAGAAAGTTACTTTTCTGTTATTTTGTAATTTTTGTTGTATGTGTGGGTATAGGTGTTTTGTCTGGGATTCTGACCTTGTTTGTTTGATTTGCAAGGAGGGTGTCTGAAGTAACTATTACATTGTTTATTGATGGTTTGAAGGGAATCTGTTGTATATTAACCCATTGATTCTGAGACTGCATTTGTATAGGCACTATCAATTACGGTTTTATTTTATCATTTAACTGCCTAAGAACTGGAAAACTTCCAGCTGGTATGTTCCCTCCCCTCAGAAAAGGTTTAATTTACAGCAAAGGAACAGTAGATGGTGCATTCTCCTGGTGTCAATGGGTTAAGATGGTAATAAGCTATTCTTGCAATATTTGGGGTAAATAAGGTTGTGGATATATTCCATGAGAAGGGTATTGCACGAGTCATGTCTAGTTTTTGAGGGAGGAAACAAATGATATCTGACTTTTCCTCCAAGACTATATTTTTACACTCCCTCAAAAACTATCATGTTAGTAGTAAATAGTACTGATTGTTTGTGGATTAATGTAAATAAAAAATTAAGATGAAAAATCAGATTTAAAAGTAATGATATGAAGAAGTTTTGGCATCAGAGGAAGATGTTTGAATAATAGTTCTGTTTTTAATTTTGCTATCTAATTTCTTTCAGCCAGCCTGGAATTACAGCAACTCATGTAACTTGAAGTATTAGTATTTGGTTTAGAAGGTTAAGTGAATTTTAGGATTTTAGGTATATAAAGATTTTTGCAATAGAAAATATGCAGAATTTTAAAGTAGTCATCATTCACAGACAAACGATACTGTATTTGCTTTTCTGTTCTCACAATATTTATGCATAAACATTTTATTTGCACAGAGAACTGCTTAAGAGGATATTTGAAATTTAATCTTAGTATTCTGAAAATATAAAGAAAAATAAATATAGAAGTTCAATAGATCCAATACCTTTCCAATAACAGATTTTAAATTGGCTGAGAGCAGGAGTTCTTAGCCTTAGGGTCCATGAACCCCTTACCTAGAATTCAGGGGGCTGTGAGGATCAGATGAGAATTAACATCTATTTTAGTATTACAAACCTGGCCATTAATTTTTGCATTTTTTAAAATTATTATTATTGTTTACTCAAATGTTAAATCATACTTTGTGATCATATATGCATAGACAATCAAATCGCAGTAAATAAATGACATTATACACATTGCATGCAAAAATGTGTGTTAACATTTTTGGGGAGGAGGTTCATAGCTTTCCCCAGATTCTTAAAGGGGTTTGTGACTTTAAAAAGGTTAAGAAACTGGTTTAGAGCGAATTGAGTTATCCTGTACCAGAGAAGCAAAATTACAGTTGGAAATTGTCAATAATTGCTATTATTAATTTTCTTTTACTGTAGATTTTGTAACTATAATTTCAAAATTTAATTAAAATTACTCTTCCTTTTGCCTGTGGAATGCACTCCTTTGCATGGAGATCTGATGATAAATCTGCATGCAATAAAACCTACAAAATAGATAGCTCACTGAAATCCTTACAGGATCCATTCCTTATGAGGTGTAAAAGTTTAGTGAAGTTGCTGTCAGAGCATTTATGTCTTATAGATTTTTATTATTTTTTTATATTTTGTTAGAACATATATTGCATGAAAGAAAAATGTCTTCCTTTGCAACGTTCAGCTCAATTTTCATGATTGATTGATATGCCCTTAACAAAAACTAAAAGAAACATGCCATGAACTGGAATACGTTGTAGGGAGTTAACTTCTGAAATATATACACTAATGAGGAAACACCCATTCAATTGTTAAAACCCACATCTGGTTATTTCTTGGTGTAAAAAGGGCATAAGCAAATACAGATTGGTTGGCATTTTCAGTTGGAAAGTAAACAAGGAAGATATTTAAATTTTACTTTTTTTTTGGGGGGGGGAGGTTTTCTATGCCCCTCACTCTGATATCCCCTTAATACTATCTTATTACATGCACACAACATAAAGAAAATGGAGACAATCTATTTTTAACCATTTTTATGGGTATTTTATTGAATTTATCCTCACATAGTGCACAAACATGTTACTATGCACTTTCTTATAAAGTTAGTGGCTACTGGTAGTTTCATTTATGTTGTAAGCCTGAATATTCATGTAATTCTTGGTGAAGGGATATGTAAACCTTGACTCATTGTTGATTTATCTCTGCCCAACCCTTCCATGTGTGTTATGGTCAACTTAACCCAGTGCTTTTTTTTTTTAAGATATCTTAGTTTCCTCTTTTACTTTTCAAGCTGGTTTTAGGATGATCATAAGGATAAAAGCTATCAGAAGCTTTTGGTATTTGCAATAATGTTGCTTCTTAGCCATCGTCCTGTATCCTGAATGTTGAATAAGAGAAAGTGTGTTTGAAAATCTTGTGTTAGTGATGATGGCTTTTATTTCCTGAAGATATTTTATTTATCTAAATGCTTTTCAGGTTCAGCAGCTATCCACTGCCCAGTGACCCAAGTACAAAGAATCTACAGCGGGAGGCAATCCTGGCCATTGCCTCTGACCCAGCTAGGCAGAATTTGGAGAAATCACTGAAGGTCTTGTTATCTCCAAAGCCAGTGGTTCCTAAGATGGAGATTAAAATTAATGAATTAGCTGACAAAGTTATTGCAGCGAGAAAGGTAAGAAGTGGCAATCATTTCCTTTCGTTCCCTTGAACATATGCTTGTATGAACTTTATGAATGATGGTTTTCTCTTATGGAAAGGAGTAGTGAAGAAATATCAGGCTGATATTGTTCAGACTGTAGAGATATATTAATGATTTTTCTATGTTCACTTGCCAGAGGGAGAGATACGATAAACTAATACAGACATTAGTGGAGCACGTAACAGTAAGAGAGGTAGAGACGAAGCGCAAAAAGCAGTTAGCTGAACTACGGATGTGGGAGCGAAAAATCAATTCAGTGTGCAGTGACCCTGCTAAACTGACTGTGGAGAATAATGTTGACCTTGAACTTCCAGCAATGAACTTTATTTACATCAATGAACTAAGAGTAAGTAATTGTACTGGTAAATTTACACAGTAATATCAGCATGTGTATGCTTATATAATCGAAAAAACATACAGGGATAAAAAATCCAAATCTTCCTGAAGCTAAAAAGACTTATTATGTATGTAATTTTAATGTCATGTTTATGAACCTCTATCTCCTCCTATCAGCATCTCTTTTCAGGAACGATAAATAAAATGAATTCCTTTTCTATGAAACAGGCTGGACCAGGTGTAACAATCCCATCAGAACCAGTGCTTGGCTGTGAGTGTGAAGACTGTTTCAACAATTGCAAGTCCTGTTGTCCTGACCAGATGAATTCCTGGTTTGCCTACAATAAGTATGGGAGATTAAAAGTAAGACCTGTTTTTTTTTTAAGTATTGTGTGCTATGAATGGTTGTTTAGTTGATTACTTGTTAAAGAACTGTTGAGGACTGGTTTATGAGATGATAATCCAGTGCAAGTATGATGGAGATCCACAAGAAAGACCTGTCCATAATACCTTGCTTATGAAACCCACTGGACCCGGATGCTTCACTGCTATCACATGGCCCGAAATATGGGCATTACAATTACTTGAGCAGCCACTCTGTGATGGGTGTGCGGCTTGTATTCTGGGTGCACACAAACACTCGTGTGCAATGACAAGACGCATTGCCTCCCCTTCGCAGTCTTAGTTTCTCTTTTTCTGCAGAAATGTTTTTAGTTTTTTTTCACACTTACCATTTTCTGTATTTGTCATTTGATTTGCTTTATCCAAATGGTAATAGACTTTTATTTGCATGACTCCATATCATCTTTAGGTAGTCTATAACTAGTGCAATAAGAATACAATAAGTAACATTTTGTTATTTGTCAGTTTTTAATTTTTTTTTTCACAATATTCAAGTTTTTTTTTCCTATCAAAAACCAAATAAGCTTCGGTAACTGTGAATCCATAAGTTATGTGATAAAGCACTGAAACACCCTAATATCAGAAGTTTTATTTAAGCCATCATTGTAGGTGATAAAAAGGAAAGATTTTGTACAATTAATTGTCTTTTCTTTCTCTTTCAGGTATCGCTTGGCACACCAATCTACGAGTGTAATAAGAGATGCAAATGCAACGCACATTGCTTAAACCGAGTGGTACAAAAAGGAAGGAACGTCAGCCTAAGCATTTTCCGGACTGCAAATGGCTGTGGTTGGGGTGTCAAAGCAATGGAAAATATTAAAAAAGATACTTTTGTAACTGAGTATGTTGGAGAAGTCATTACTTCAGAGGAAGCTGAAAGACGAGGGAAAATCTATGGTTAGTATTATGATAGTTCATTTGAAATACAAGATTGAATGTGTATTGATAATTGTGTAGTAACACTTTTGGGGCTTGCAGGCCAATTTCCGAAGAGCTTAAGCAGAAGAAAAAGGAAACATGGTCAGACATTTGTTTCCTGATGACTTGCAAGCAGTTTATCCTTTAGTCTAGGTTTACAAGTATTGTAATAAGATATCGATTACATGATGTATCACATACATGCCCTTTTTATGGTAAAAAAAAAAGAAATATATATATATAAATATATATATATATATATAAATATATATATATATATATATATATATATATATATATATATATATATATATATATATATATATAAATATATAAATATATATAAATTTTTGCAAAAGTTAGGTTCATTGTAAACTATTTATCTGCTTGATTAAAATTTGTCTTTTTTTTTTTTATCTTACCCAGATGCCCAAGGTTGCACATATCTCTTTGATCTAGATTACGACAAAGGAGATCAGAATCTTTACACAGTTGATGCTGCAAAATATGGGAATGTATCACATTTCATCAACCACTCGGTAAGTATTGTATCATATACAAGGGATAGTAAGTTAGTGGATGCTGTTAGTAGTACAAAATTCTAACTAGTTACATACATTCAACTTTTTTTCACAGGTTCATTTACATTGCAAAATGTTTTTAAAATCTGACAGACCTCAGTTAAGTATATACTATCAGTCTGTCTGTATTGTGTAGCAGAATTTATCTGTGCAGAATCAGTCTTGGGTACTTTTGCTACATAGTCTTAAGCATAATGTTTTATTTTCCAGTGTGATCCAAATCTGGTTGTCTTTAACGTGTGGGTGAACTGCCTTGACCCTGATCTTCCTAGACTTGCTTTATTCAGTGTAAGAGACATAAAAAAGGGAGAGGAATTGACCTTCGACTACAACTCTGGCCTCGGCTCCCAGCAGATGGCAAACGGAAACTTGGATCAAGGAAAAGGTTAGTTATATTAAGTGTTTCTGTCAATCTATCTATTAATGGCAGTCAAAGGAATTGACAAAAACAAACAAATTATCTATGTCGTTTATTGAATTTGATTTTAGTGAGTGCCAGTGATGTTTACCTGTTTTGACAGTTTTATAAAGGCAACAAAATTATAATCATATACTGGTGATTGTAATCTACATGTATTGTAAAAATACTGTTAGATGAGAACTTAAAATTAGTGGATGTCAAATCCTTTGATTACGAGTTAAACTGTGCATAATATTTTTACTTGTTGTTGTTTTAATGGCTTCATACATTCAATTGCTAATATCTTCCTTTATTCTAAATGTTAGAATCTAGTGAAGACACCTTTGGAGAGGTCATAACTCCTCAGAAAAGTGAAGGCATTAGAGCAGTGTCGACCTCACCAGACATGATACTGAAGACGCCCAAGGGAAACAGGGGACTCCAGTATGGCAAGACTGAATGCCGGTGCGGTGCTGCCAACTGTCGGAAGTATTTCTTCTGATGGGCCGTTGTTGTTGTTATATTGCAGACATAGAATTTGGTTATGTAGTTGGATGACAGTGTGTTTTGGAATGGTACTTAATTGATTCCAGGAACATTGTTTTTATTTTAATACTGATGGCCTTATTTAGCCTTGGTGATACCTGATATCCTGTGATTTTTTTATTTTTCTTTATTTTATGTTAACCGAGATAGTAGAAAGTTAGGGAGGTAATTGCTATATAGTGTGACACTATAAAAAAAGCAATAAGAAAGATTTTAAAATTTTAACAATTCTTCAAAGGGAATTGTAACATATTGATATTATTTAAGAAATTGATATAGTGTCACTTTACTTTGAAAATATTAAGCAAATTTTCTTTGTGAATTTCAGGGCTACATTTCCTTCTTTATTTCCTTATTATAGTTACACAGAGCAAACTGATTCAGTTTCTAGTGTTTTTTGTAGACTAGATATTTATTTTAAAATTTTGTTATGTGTACCCTTCGATAAGTTCTTTTTCTTGAAATGATTTCACAACTAAATCTAAGAAGGTTAAAAGAAGAAAGTAATAGGTTGAGTTGCTGTTCATAGAAAACCTATATTTATTCAGATGTAAGAGTATGTGTTACGAAGACGACCTTTTTTTTTTAACAAATTGTATTTTAGGATGTCTCCAACAAGTTACTTTTAGTATTAAAGAGACGTTGATGGTCTTCACATTGACTTTCTTTCATTAACCTTGGAGTTACTTGTATTTAAATATCATCTTGCTACCCAGTGGGATGGTCAGTCCTTTGTGTCAAGAGCTTAACCATAGTTGCTGGAAGGACATCCTGTCTGGCATGGGTGGCACTGCAACCAGAAGCAGTGGAGTCCCAAGCATAAAACATGATTACCAGTTCTGCTTTTTTCCCATAATATAACAGCAACTGGGAGATACCTTACAGAAATATCACAGAAATAACACATACCAATACAAGAAATTGATATTAAGTTATTTATAAGAAATGTCCGGACACAGTGGAGGTGGATTTCGAAGGAAGTGAGTATAGGAATGAAATGACATGTAAGAATTACAAAGATTTAAGACCTTATCTTTAAAATAGAAGCATCTGCCTCAAGAGGGAGATGTTAATGAAACCCATTTCTAATGGAATAAATAAAACTAGGAATTTGCAAAAAATGTCCAAACGCAATACAGAGATTCATGGAAGTGGATGTTGAAGGAAGCCATTACAGTAATGTCCCCCCCCCCTCCATCGTTCCACTACTCCCATATCTACAAACATCTCAGATGCTCCATTAGCCCAGCCAAATGGGACCTGCAAAGTTTCCCTCCGCAGCTGCCCTGTTTGTTCCCATCTTGTTACAGTTATATCTGAAACACAAGCTAAAGCATTATCAACCCTGATACCTAGAAACCCACCCCTGCTCAACCTCATCCCACCCTTAGTACTTGTATTGCAACTGTCTCCATCTCCCCAACAAATGGCCCTGTCTGCGACAAAAATTGGTTAGATTGTGGGGAAGACTTGCTCGCCTGCCTCCTGGAGTATGATGCAGTATCAGTACAATGCTACACCATTTTCCCTGGAGGTCATCGTAAATCTCCACCAATTTTGCCAAGATTACTTTCCTTACACATGACCTCCCCTTGGCGGAGAATCCCCCCCTGTCCGACCATATCAATCTCCTCCCCATCATTTTCAAAACTGATGGGGTCTAGGCCATCCTATCAAAAACTGTTGTATTGTATAGTTTGTGCCCTATCTACAAGGTTGAGCCTGAAGTGGCAACTCTCAGATTCAGACTTGGCCTCAGTCTATGCGAGGCCAGACAGGAAGCACGTCAGCTAGGTTTCTCTCACTCCCTTTTCCAATAATTGCTCTACCCCTCCCCTTTCCTCCCGAGGTGTTTCTACATCTCCCCCAGCATCTCTTCCTCATCTCACTTCTACCCCCTCACTCTCCCAGTCAAATTCTTTTGCCATTCTAAATCCAGACACCTCAATCTCCTGCACTATTCCAGACACTCCAATCGCTACTTCCCTGGTACCTAACCCTTTTCCTTCTCACCCAACTCAAGTTAAACATCCCATCATCAATCCCATCCTCTCCATCAACTTCTCCCTCGACCCCTCAAACATCTGCCCCCTGTTCTCCCACCCTTAAGAAAACTTTTCTCAAATCTCTCCCCAGCCATTCCACTGCAGAAACTCTCGTAGACATTGAAAACTCTATAATCATGACCCAAGATAATCTCTCTACTCTTTTCCTTCTACACTTGAATTAATTGCCAACAACCATCCTCCTCCTACTCGTGACGCTCACTGTCCGTATACTCATGTTTTCCCTTCCTCCCACTCCTTCCCAAAACATCCCATTCCCCTCTGCTTCAGCCGCATCACCCCCTCCCCTCCTAACCCACTATCCCTTCCGCTTCCCACCGGATGTGACCCTTTCTTACAGCAACACCCTTTCCTAGATTCTCTCCCTCCTGACACTCAATGAATCTGTGATCTAATTGAATTTATATCCCTTTCTCCTTTGCTACTCCCTCCTTACCCTACGGACATCTTTGCAAAATCTCACACATCTTTCTTTGCCAACTGTGATCAGATCGCCCTTTTTAATCCCTAATTTCCTGAACTGCTATACGACGTGTAGCACATATAGTCAACTAATGATGCCCTCTACCCTTTTCACTATTACACCTTGCTATAGTGCTATATGAGTTTTGACGTTTAGCATACATATTTTGTTTTGTAACCATTAACCATTAGAGTAATGAAAAGACATGTAAGAATTGCAAAGATTAAAAATTAAAATAAAAGCATTTTCATCAAAAGGGAGATATTGACAGATAACAGAAACACAAGAAAAAGATGCACCACAGAGATATTGACTAAAATATACAAGAGCTTGAGAATGTATAACATATACATGTTAACACATGTGTGGAATTCATGTCGGACAAATTGCAAGTAGAACATAAAGGGAAGTACAGGAAAACACACGAATATGCTGAAGGCCTTTTCACATTTATGCTTCATCATGCCCTGATGAGGCAATAAATGCGAAAAGGCCTTCAGCATATTCGTGTGTTTTCCTGTACTTCCCTTCTTTGTTCTACTTGCAATGTTTACATATATATATATATATATATATATATATATATATATATATATATACATATATATTATCCTTCTAGATCTATATCTCTATATCTACGCATGTTTCTATCTATCTGTCTATCTATCTGTCTATCTATCTGTCTATCTATCTGTCTATCTATCTGTCTATCTATCTGTCTATCTATCTGTCTATCTATCTATCTATCTGTCTATCTGTCTATCTGTCTATCTATCTGTCTATCTGTCTATCTATCTATCTATCTATCTATCTATCTATCTATCTATCTATCTATCTATCTATCTATCTATCTATCTATCTATCTATCTATCTGTGTGTGTGAAAGGTATTCATGTTGACAAATGTAAAAAAGGTATGAATTAGAATGAATATCTTCACAATACAAGAGATATATTTCACCGGTTTCGATTATATCTTGGTCAGAAATACATACATCAAAGGTATTACAGAGTATATATAACACATATGAGCTGGCGAAACACCTGACGACTGTGGCCTCCTACTCGTCCGTGTAATTGGTTCCGCGACCTTGGATAGTTTGAATCTGCCCGATGCTGTGTTGACATTTTTCTCCGTCGCGATGTATGCAGCTTCCATAGTTTT